TCATCAACCTGGGGAGAAGTGATAAGTCATGTGCGCAGTGTGCTGTCCTGGGTCTGTTGTTGTTTGACGTCTTTATAAAGGACTTGGATGAAGGAATTGAGGGGGTGCTCATCCAATTTGCAGATGACACCAAACTGGGAATGGTAGCTAAAGCTGCAGAAGACACAATCAGGATTCAAAATGACCTTAACAGTCAACCAAAAACTCTTTGGGATTAGAGGATTAGAGGAATAGAGGAATAGACTTTTCGTTGGAGACTGAATGATAATTTATTACATGATCAAGAAATATATGAAAAAGCACAAAAGACTTGAAAAGACTATTTTATGCATAATTGGAATGGAGAAATAAAAATCAATGTAATGTGGGGGAGACCTGGCTTACTAGCAGTACATGTGAAAAGGACCTAGGGGTCTTGATGGACCACAAGCTCAACATTGTGATGCAGAAGCAAAAAAAGGGAATGCTATTCTAGTCTGCTTCCACAGAAGTCTAGTGTCCAGATCCAGGGAAGTCATAGTCCTGCTCTCTTCTGCCTTGGTCAGACCACACCTGGAACACTGCGCTCACTTCTGGCCACAACAGTTTAAGAAGGATGTGGACAAGCTGGAAGGTGTGCAGAGGAGGGAGACCAGGGTGATCAAGGGTCTGGAAGTCAAGCCGTATGAGGAGTGGTTGAAGGAGCTGGGTATGTTAAGCCTGGAGAAGAGGAGACGGAGAGGAGATATGAGAGCCATCTTCAAATATCTCAAGGGTTGTCCCATGGAGGAAGGAGTGTGCTTGTTTTCTCCTGCTCTGGAGGGCAGGACTCGAACCCATGGCTTCAAGATGCAAGAAAGGAGATTCCGGCTGATCATTCGGAAACGCTCTCTGACAGTAAGAACAGTTCAGCAGTGCAACAGACTCCGACAAGCGGAGGTGGACCCTCCTTCCTTGGAGGTTTTGAAGCAGAGTTTGGATAGCCAACTGCCAGGGATGCTTCAGCTGAGATTCCTGCGTTGCAGGGGGCTGGACTAGATGACCCCTGGAGTCCCTTACAGGTCTACGATTAAGTTTCTGGATCTCTTGGCTCCTGCAAAGCCAACCTGCTCTGCTAGTAACTCGGCACGTGGGACTCAGTGCAAGGACGGCTGTCGTAACTTGTGTGTTGCGCAAACACTGTGGGCTGCATGGCGTTGGCACCAGGCTGGGGAGTGGGCAGAAACAGTCGATTGGGCAGCGCTCCCTCTTAATGGATGCCACGCGGCTGTTGCATCAAAGTGCCCGCTGCCCTGACATACCTCTCCGTCTGGTGGAAATAGGGACATCCTATTCCATAAGAGAATATAATTCATGCCCTGCCCATCTGACTGGGTTGCCGCAGCCACTCTCGGCGGCTTCCAACATATACAAAACCACAATAAAACATTCAAAAACGTCCCTTTCCAGGGCTGCCTTCAGATGTCTTCTAAAGGTCGTATAGTTACTTATTTCCTTGCCTCGGGGGTTGCATGACTCCATACCCTCCAACATTTCCCCGATGAAAACAGGGATATCCTAAGGGAAAGAGGGACATTCCGGGATCAAATCAGAAACTGGGAAAGAGGGACGCTTGGAGGGCCTGCCTTGAATGTCATGCTTAGAACCAGGAGTAGCCTCTCGTTTATCGATCCTCGTTGTGTCCTAGTAATCTGCGAAGGAGTTTGGGATATGGGTCTTCTTGTCCCATTGAATCCCCACAAATACCCTGGGAGGGTGGCCAGGCCAAACCAGAGGCGAGCTTTTGGGCAGGGGTTCGAGCGCAAGTCTCCTTGGCCCTTTATCCTGCACCCGACGACAGCTGCCTCTCCTTCAACACTCCCCAAGTCCATGGCACATATTGGGCTGCTTCTGTTTTCAATGTGCATTTCGTGTTTTTACGTTGTGATTTTACCCTGTGAACCGCCTGAGACCTGCAGGTATAGGGTGGCCTACAAATTCGGATGATTATGATGATGATGATGATGATGATGATGCAGTCCTATCATGGCGCCTTGTAGCTGCCTCTCCTCTCCACTCAGAGCTCCCCTTGCTTTCTTCACAGGGCTGGAACAGGAGCTGCTCAGGCATCCCTTTCTGGAAGGCTGTGGTGCACGGTCCCTGCTTTGGGGTCCTGATCCTGCAGCCCCTTCTCTTCACCACCCATGGGCTCTCCCCCCCCCCCCCGGCTTGCTGCATGAGCTCCATATGCAGGGATGACTTTGCAGATCTGCCCAGCCTCCTGCTGAGTCAGGCCTGGCTCCCCCTGATAGCTCCGGCTGCAAGAGGCCGACCTGTTGCTCAGGAAGAAGTGAAAACGACTCTGCTGCAGATCACCCAAGCAGCAGTGATTCTGACACAGGAAAAATGCACCTTCGCCAAGCGAGCATTGGAATTAAAGGAGCATAACTCAGTCTGCAGGAGCATCACTGCTTGTTGGCGAGACTCGTTTGACAACAGAGATAAACTGAACCTTTCGTGTCCTCAGGCCAGTGGAACTCTCTGCCACTGGAGATTCAGGGAGCGCCTTCCATGCAAAGCTTTCGTTGCCTGCTGAAAACATTTCTATTCCTCCCAGACTGTGCAGGCAATTAAGAACGCATCGTTTTGCAAATGGTTAATTGATGTCTGTTGTTCACTTTTTCAAAGGTTAAACAGGTATTATGTCTTTATTGATGTAAATGTCTTGGATATACTTTTGTATGACACAGTGGTGTACAAATATTTTTATAAATGAATATGAAATGTTTTTATAAATACGTATGAATGAAGGAAATAAACAAATGAGGAGAGCTGGGGTCCCGTTGCTCCCACTGGCCAACCAGATGTCCAACGGAAGCCCCCCCCAGCCCCTCCCCCTCCCGTGCTTTGCTCTCCCCTCCTCCAGTCACAGGCACTCAGTGGCTCAGAGCATATCTCCTCAACTGTGCCAGAACAAACGGGACATCTCATTTTTCCCTGCATGAGCATGGCAGTCATTTGGGGCTTCTTGCTCTCAGGCGATTTCGAAATGTGATCTCCCCTCAAAAAAAGCACATTGGGGGGCCAGGGACCTTGTGTGGGTCAGGTGATTCACGCAGGAGTGCGGCCCCAGAAGATGGGGTCCCGCTTTCCCCCCATGTGGCATTTGACAGTGTGCCATGGGCTGGCTTAAAGGAGCCTGGTAGCCACTGTGTCCCAAGGGTCACGTAAAGGTCGTCTTCTTCCGCTGTGAATGTAATATCTTATTCTGAAATATTCTTTTGAGTTTGGGGTGGGTGGCTTAGCCAGTAGGATGCTGGAGCGAGTCCCTTCTCATTCCTGGACCCAGCGAGGGTTGAAATCCTTTGCTGAAGGAGCCAGGCAGCTTTCTGGGCCAGCGAATGGCCTGAGGGCGCAAGGAAGGCGCTTGCTCTGCGCCCGAGGACACCTGGCTGGCAGTCAGAAGGACAAAAGCCACAGGGGGAGCGGCTGCTTCCAAGCCTGGGACTGGGGGAGAACCTCGCCTGCTCTTCGTCTGGGAGACAGGGATTTCCATCAAGTTAATCATGTTAATCATGGCCAATAAAAATGGGATTTAAGGGCAACAAGTAACAGCGCAGTTCTCGGCGTGTCTAGCTAGAGGGATGTCTTCTTGAATTTGATGGGTCTTACTCACGGGTAACTCCCATCACAGAGGAATAGATACCTCTGGCAGGGCTTTAGGGCGAGTTCCTGGGAAATTTGAAACTGCCCTGTCCGATTGGACCAAGCTCCATTTAGCCCAGTGCTCTGTCACTGATGGTGGTCAGCCAGGGCATGAGGGTGATGGGTTTTGTCCCCACCCTCAGCCACGATGGGGAAACCCAAATCTTCCAAGGCTCTGTACTCAACGTACAGTGAAAGCACATGATTTCCCCCAAAGACTGCTGGGAAGTGTAGTTTCCCCCTCAAAGAGCCACAATACTTAACAAACTGCTGCAGCTCCCGTGATTCAGCTGGAAGCTCAATCTCTTTCTTCAGTGCTGGAGATGGGACAATGTTCTCTCCTGCACCTGAAGGCAGCAAGCCAGCTTGGGGGTGGCAGGCTGTGTTTGTCCTACGATGCCTCACCACTGTGTCCTCCAGCCCAGCATCTGCCCCTGAAGCAGCCACCTCACTCCCAATGACAGGGGTGGCCCTGCGCAATCCTGGCCACATGCCCTGATCTGTACCAGGGCCCAAGAAAGCATTGCAAAGAGAGTGGCAATCGCTTGAGGATAATTGAGCCCATTGAGGATAATTAATTGCACTTTCAGATGATGATTATTATTTCACCATTTATCAATTGAGGGCCCTTGGAATGTAGGACAGGACTCTGCCCCAGGGAGCTCACATTCAGGTTTGACAGCATGGGGAGAGAACAGCAGAGGGATAGTTGGAAGCGGCAAAGGTAGGAAGACAGGGAGGTTCAACAAGGGCAGGGATTGGGAGCCCGCTGCCTGCCAATGGGAAGCAGAGTCAGACCACATCCAGAAGACCTCAGGTTCCCCATCTCTGAGCAAGAGCTTCGCTCAAAATATGGGCTTTGAAGCAGAACAGGTGTACAAAAGGGGACAGGAGTGCAGAAAGAATTGAAGAATTCTAAAGTGACCCAAAGTCCTACAGCCAGAAAAGGTCAGGTCCCAGGTAGGTGTTTCTCAGGAGAAAGATGATTCTGCGTCCCTTGAAAGGTCACCTGAATCAGTCAAGGCAAATACACACATGGGATTCAGAAGCATCGCTGCCTCTGATGATGGGGGGAGAGCAGAGGCAGCCAGACTAGGAGCTATTAGAGCTTCTCCTCCATGAATGTGTCTAGTTCCTCTTTCAGGCCACCCAGGTTGACATCTGATGGGAGGGCTTTCCACAGGGAGGGAGTCACTGCCAAGAAGGCCCTTTGCCTCATACACTCTAACTGAATCACTGGAGGAGGAGGACCTCAGTGTCCGGGCCGAGCGATGGGGGTGGAGACGCTCCGTTGGGGCTGCCTTCAGATGTCTTCTAAAGCCTTTATACTTGTCTCCTTGGCACAGGGGTGGCATTACTCCATACCCTCCAGGATTTCTCAGAGGAAAATAGGCATGTCTAAAGGAAAATCACAGCATTCTTTGATCAAATCAGAAACCAGGACGGCCTCTTTAAATCCAGGAGGAGGAACTTTGGCGCAGGGTATAAAAGGCTCCAGCCCTGGAAGGAGCTCTAGCTCAACTCAGAAGGTTTTCTCCAGCAGCCGAGAGGAGCTCCCAGCCCTCAAGCCAGCCATCATGGCAAGCATTACGGCTGCAGAGAAGCAGCTCATCCTGGCTTTCTGGTGCAAAGTGGATGTGGAAGCCTTGGGTGGGGATACCCTTACCTGGTAAGTCCAGGGGTGGTCCCCTCTCTAAGCAGGTTGGGCAGGAACTCCTCTTTCCACCTGGATAATAACCATCCGTGCCTCTCCCTTTCTCCTTCCTTCCTTCCTTCCTTCCTTCCTTCCTTCCTTCCTTCCTTCCTTCCTTCCTTCTCTCCAGCATGTTTATCGTCTTTCCCTGGATCCGGCGTTTGTTCTCTAACTTGGATGACCCTCTCCAGCCCTCCCTCTCATTAGGAACCTCTCCAGCCCTCTCTGCACGAGGTCAAGGAGGATTTTTCCGAGCTGCGTGAACTGCTGTGCAACAAGCTCCACGTGGACCCCATCAACTTCAGGGTGAGGCTGCTCCCCCGCCCCAAGGGGCTCCCTGGTGGGGGGGGGGACTGGGGGGTGCTGTGTGTGTGTCACTCTGGGTGGCTTACAGGATATAAAACATGGTAAGACATTAGACATTTCCTGTTACAGGGTTGCATTCAGATTTCAGTTAGTTTTTCATTTCCTTGACATCTGGTGGGAGGGCATTCCACAGGGCGGGGGCCACAACCGAGAAGGCCCTCTGCCTGGTTCCCTGTAACCTCACCTCTCACAGTGAGGGAACCACCTAAAGGGTCGCCTTCAAAGGTAGCCCCACATAGAGTGCATTACAGTAGTCCAAGCGGGAGATAGCCAGAGCATGCACCACTCTGGCGAGACAAACTGAGGGCGGGTGGGGTCTCATCCTGTGGACCAGATGGAGCTGGTACAAAGCTGCCCTGGACTCAGAATTCACCTGCACTTCCATGGACAGCTGTGAGTCCAAAATGACTCCCAGGCTGCGCACCTGGTCCTTCAGGGGCACAGTTGCCCCATTTAGGACCAGGGAGTCCCCCCCACACCTGCCTGTCCCCTGTCCACTCAAAACAGTGCTTCTCTCTTGTCAGGATTCAGCCTCAGTCTGTTGAATCTGCTGTGGGATCTGTTGTGGGGAGAGGGTGTTCCATACATGGGCCCCCTGGCAGAAGGAGTCACCCCTCTTTTCTCTTGCAGCTCCTGTCAAAGTCCTCATCACCCCCCACCCCCTTTGGACAGGAATTCACCTCTGCTTACCACCACGCCTTCCACAAGCTGGTCAGGGTGGTGGCTCATGCGCTGGCCTGCCGGTCCCACTGAGACACCCCCAGGGAGAAGAGGCCGCCTCCTTCTGCTCTCGCCACCCACCAGGTTTGGTGGGGGCCACCCCTTCCAGCCCCCATGTGACGCTTGACCCTCTAATAAACCCTCCCTCTGCAACCTGACCTGGTTTCCTGTGTCTTCTTCTCTGGGACAGAGGGAGGGGACAGGCCTGGGGGTGGGGGGTTAGTTGGGGGGTGGCGTGGAAAGGGGGGTCTTCTCTGTCACTCAAGAGGATTCATTAAGCACCAGTGGGGGGTTTTATGGCGCTATGGCATTTTGTGTCCCCCCAAGCTGCAGTGCTTTTTAGAGCCAGAGACCCCTGCTGTGTCGCCAAATCTTTTATCCCCAAAATTCCTGGCAAGGTCGTCCCCCCCCCCCGATGCTCCCAGGGCCCCACTGGTCTCATTGGTTGTCTCCCCACCCATTTCTTGGTATTTGCCCCAGTTCTGTTGCCCTCACTCTTCTTCCTACTCTGGAGAAATTGGGGGCGAGAGACTCAGAGGGGGATGCGGACCCTTCCCCTGCTCTGGATTCCATCCCTCTGAATAAGGGGTGGGGGTACCGACATGGCCACCCAGGGAGACCCCCAAGGGCCACTCTCCCCCCCCCAATGCCCCTCCCTGCCTCTGTCCAGATGGGTGTCGGGGACGGAGCTGCCTCTTAATCGGCAGAGAGAGGGGGCAATTCATTTCGTTTTATCCATTGATTTGTTCATTAAATCTGGGGGTTCACAGGATGAAATTACGATATAAAAACACAAAGCACATTGTTATGTACTGAGTTGAATAGGATCCAAAATGCAGCAGTCTGATTGGTCCTAGAACAATGCAGCAGTATGATTGGTTGGCAGGAACCACCCAATCATGCTCCAGATAGAAGTGAATCCACAACCTGATTGGCTTACAGTAGAATTCCGGAATTAGCCAATCATGTGCAGCCCTTTGTGTAAATAATGTATATAAAGCAGATACTTTGAGGGGACATTCATTCATTCCTCCTCACCACTATGAGCTGAATAAAGAGCATGAAATCACTTTGCGACTCTGAGTATATTTCACACATAATCAAATAAAAACAAATACAACCCAATAAACACCCCCGCCTACATATTTCACACCCATAATAGCATCAAAGGAGTTTACCACCTTCACTGGAACATCAAACAAAGCGATCCAAAATAAAACGCCAAGGGGGCAGCGAACCCGGCAAGTCGCCCTTTGGGGGGTCCCAGGCGGTCTATGGGGGGAAAGGGGCAGGTCTCCCCTAATCTTCCGAGGGTACCGAAAGGGCACGACCCGCGCTCGTCCGGTAATTTATTTTGGGGGGGGGGGGTTTGTGAGCCGGGATGGAAATCCCTGTCTCCCAGACGAAGCAGGCGAGGTTCTCCCCCAGTCCCAGGCTTGGAAGCAGCCGCTCCCCCTGTGGCTTTTGTCCTTCTGACTGCCAGCCAGGTGTCCTCGGGCGCAGAGCAAGCGCCTTCCTGGCGCCCTCCGGCCATTCGCTGGCCCAGAAAGCTGCCTGGCTCCTTCAGCAAAGGATTTCAGACTGTCCCCGAACAGCCCTGGCCAACTCCCGTGGGGAGGGCGGGGAACAGCTTTGAATGGGGACACAATTGGCAAGCGAAAAGTCACACGCCCCCGTGGAAGAGATCCTGATTTCTGCTGCAGGAGAAAAGCATCTCTTTGGAAAGAGGCTGATTTCTGCTTTGCTTGAACGGGGCAAGGAGGGGAGGGAATGTTTTAAGTTATGGGGCTTTGTCGGGATCTGCGTCATCTCCCTTCCCCTGAAGCAAGGAATGCAAAGATTTCGGGAAGAGCGGACTTTAAATTTGCCTCTTTGCGATGGATTAGTTTTAGAAGTCAGGACTTTGCCTGAAAGAAGATGGAGAGCAACAACCTTGAGGGACTTTTGAGGGATTTTGACCCCCCCCCCCTTGGGACTTCCTCCTGAGAAATAAAAGCAGTAAAGAAGAAAAGAGGGGTGACAACTGGATCGACTGTCTGTGAAGCAGGAAGATTTCTGAGTTCAGGGGGGGGGGGCGGAAGGAGAGGAGACCAGGATTTTGTGGAGATTACCTCAGCCCACCTCCTTGGAGCCTGAAGGTGGAAACAAGAGCAGCGAAAGGGAGAGGAGGGACCACATTGCGCAGCATCTTGACGGCTTCTGAGACGCAAAAGAAGAGAAATGGATTCTGCATATTTCTTAATGAGCTGGTTGTATGTAGAATTGAGGATTAAATTTGGTGGAATGTGAAGGGTGGGTGGCGCTAGAAGATTGGCAGTGTCAGTGGAGGGGCTGTATATTATATATTTATACAAAAATCCCCCAGGGGTTTCATGTTCACCCTCTGCAGTCCGCGCTAGTGAGGCTGAGTTGCTGGTTATGGGGGCCAGAGTTTCAATGGCTTGTCTCTTGAGGATAATTGAGCCCATTGAGGATAATTAATTGCACTTTCAGATGATGATGATTATTATTTCACCATTTATCAATTGAGGGCCCTTGGAATGTAGGACAGGACTCTGCCCCAGGTAGCTCACATTCAGGTTTGACAGCGTGGGGAGAGAACAGCAGAGGGAGAGTTGGAAGCGGCAGGGGTAGGAAGACAGGGAGGTTAAACAAGGGCAGGGATTGGGAGCCCACTGCCTGCCAATGGGAAGCAGAGTCAGACCACATCCGGAAGACCTCAAGTTCCCCATCCCTGAGCAAGAGCTTCGTGCAAAATATGGACCCCGGGATCTGGACCTCAGGGTCTGGGCTGAACAATGGGGGTGGAGACGCTCCTTTGGGTATACAGGGCTGAGGCATTTCATGGCTTTCAAGGTCAACACCAAAACTTTGAATTGTGCTCAGCGATCTTAACAGCCACTCCCAGCCACCAGTCTAGCTGCCACATTCTTGAGTTTCCAGGTCACCTTCAAAGGTAGCCCCACATAGAGTGCATTGCAGTAGTCCAAGTGGGAGATAACTAGAGCATGCACCACTCTGGCCAGACAGTCAGGGAGGGTCTCATCCTGCGTACCAGATGGAGCTGGCAGACAGCCGCCCTGGACACAGAATTAACCTGCGCCACCATGGACAGCTGTGAGAGCAAAATGACTCCCAGGCTGTGCACCTGGTCCTACAGAGGCACAGTTGCCCCATTCAGGACCAGGGAGTCCCCCACACCTGCCCGTTCCCTGTCCCCCAAGAACAGTACTTCTGTCTTGTCAGGATTCAAACTCAGTCTGTTGATTCCGTTGTGGGATCTGTTGTGGGGAGAGGGCGACCCACACATGGGACCCCTGGCAAAAGGAGTCACCCCTCTTTTCTCTTCCAGCTCCAGGGCGAAGTCCTCATCACCCTCCTGGCCGCCGACTTTGGGAAGGAACTCACCCCTGCTTACCACCATGCCTTCCACAAGCTGGTTGGGGTGGTGGCACATGCGCTAGCCTGCCGGTCCCACTGAGACACCCCCCAGGGAAAGAAGTTCACGGCATGTAATGCCTTAAGAGAGAATATTATGAAAATGATTTATAGGTGGTACACGACACCAGTCAAGCTTGCAAAAATCTACCATTTGCCCGATAATAAATGTTGGAAATGTAAAGAAACTGAAGGTACATTTTTTCACCTTTGGTGGACGTGCCCAAGGATTAAGGCTTTCTGGGAGACGATATATAATGAATTGAAAAAGGTATTTAAATATACCTTCTTGAAGAAACCAGAGGCCTTTCTCCTGGGCATAGTCGGCCAATCAGTGTTAAAGAAGGATAGAACTTTCTTTATGTATGCTACAACAGCAGCAAGAATACTTATTGCAAAGTATTGGAAGACACAAGATCTACCCACCCGGGAAGAATGGCAGATGAAGGTGATGGATTACATGGAATTGGCGGAAATGACTGGCAGAATCCGAGACCATGGAGAAGAGTCGGTGGAAGAAGATTGGAAGAAATTTAAAGACTATTTACAGAGATATTGTAAAATTAATGAATGTTAGAAGGATGTTGGATTGAAATTAAGTGGTTTCTAGCTGTAATGGTATAAAAGAATATGAAAAAATGGTTTTTTATAAGTAAAAATTTAATGTTATAATAACGTAAGATTAAAGATCAGGGTAGAATAAAGAGGGAAAGAAACTGCTGAGCTAATAAATTGAACTGGAATACAAAAAAGGGAGGTATGAGGGGGTCCGGGAAACAAGTAAATGAAAAATAATGTGATGAAAAGATTGATTGTTTTTAACTACTTTTATTTTGTATTTTTTCTTTTTTCTTTTTCTATTTTGTAATGTAAAAACCCTAATAAAAATTTTATAAAAAAAAAAGAGGAGCCTTCCTTTGTCCAGTGCTTCTTCCTGCTTCTTCCATGTGGTAGTTTGAAGTCTTGTTGCAACAATAAAGATCAGGCCAACTGGCTGCTGTTTTGCTCCAATACTCTTGACTGGTGTCTTTGTTTGACAATCCAAGTGAGCCTGGGGATGTTCCCGTAACAGGAGGTATGTCAGGGGAGCCGGCACTTTGATGCAACAGCCACGTGGCATCCATTAAGGGGGACCGCTGCCCAATCGACTGTTTCAGCCCACTCCCCAGCCTGGTGCCAACGCCATGCCGCCTAAAGGGTTTGTGCAACACACAAGTTACGACAGCCGTCCTTGCACTGAGGCCCACGTGCCCAGTTACTAGCAGAGCAGGTTGGGTTTGCAAGAGCCCAGATGAAATATACTCGGAGTCGAGTGTGGGTTTCATGCTCTTTATTCAGCTCATAATAGTGAGGAATGAAAGTTCCCCCAAAGTATCTGCTTTATATACATTATTTACACAATGGGTTGCATGTGATTGGCTAATGCAGAGAAATGGCGGCGCGCATAGACGCTGCGGCTTAGTGCTCTCCCTTAGCGTTTTGCTTTGTTTTTATTATTTTACTTGGTCTGAGTATGTCTGGCCAGGCAAGAAAGATTTACAGCAGGCAGATTTACAGCAGGCAGGAACTTCTGAAGGTCGGGTTACAGTGTGAACAAGCTGTAAGAGCTGATTATTTTCGCCCAGATAACGTTCCTGTGGGAGTAGCCAGGCCACCGGGCTCTCCATGGATTACTATGCCTCCAGGGAGGAGGCGAAGGCGGCGTAGAGACAGGAGGCAA